AGGCACCAATAACCTCTTGCCTAAATTTCCCAGGTAGCTGGGACAACAGATGAGCATTACTGAACCAGGTTCACTACCTGTAATTTGAGTGACAGATCCTTGGAACAGTATAAGCTGTTACGAGATAAGGCCCTTGTAACTGACATTTGATTAAATTAGCTGATTGCTATGCAAGTCAATGTAGATTATGGTTCAGTGCTAAAGAGTATAGATCAGTGGCAGAGTGCTTGCTTAGCACGCGCAAGGTTCTAGGTTTTATTCGAAGCACTACAAAAAAAAAAAAAAAAAACAAAGGTGGGACCAGCAATATGGCTCATTGCGTGATATAGCTTGCTGCTAAGGCTGAAGATCTGAGTTTGATCCCCAGGACCCACACAGTGGAAGAAGAGAACTCCTGTAAGTTGTCTTCTTACCTTCACACTTGCAAACCACACACACACACAAATAAACAAATAAATAAATAATGTTATTTAAAAAAATATAGCAAAAGAAACAAAGCAAGCCCCAAGACTGGCTAGTGATGTAGCTCAGCTAGTAGAATGCCTTCTCATGTGGACATAGCCCTAAGTTGGATCTTCAGTACCACATAAGCCATGCATGGTGGTGCACGTCTGTGATTTCAGCATTTAGGAGGGGAGACAGGATGATCAGTCATCCTCACGTACATAGCAAGTTCAAGACTGGGCTACATGAATCTGATTCCAAAACAAAACAAGATTCATGATATACTTTAAAGATTGATAGATCTGCTGAGTAGTGATGGTGCATGTCTTTAATCCCAGCATTTGGGAGGCAGAGGCGGGAAGATCTCAGTGAGTTTGAGGTCAGCCTGGTCTACAAAGCAAGTTCCAGGACAGCCAGGAACTACACAGAGAAATCCTGTCTCCAGGAAAAAACAAACAAGCAAACAAACAAATAAAAAACCCCAAATCAATAGATCTGACAGCACCATGATTTTTCACTGATATTACTTAGTATAGCATCATATAGCAAAAAGCATAATACAAAATGAAACAGAAAATTCATTTTTCAATGTCCTGTTCCTTAATTTGAGTTGACTTACAGAAGAGCATTTTAAATAGGTATCACAGTCTCTCAGTACCCCTTCCTATCTGATCTTACACTTAACTAGTGTAAGGGGCCAAGTCAAGCAATGGTGGCACTTGATTGATGTGCAGGAGGATCACAATTTCAAGGTCATTCCATCTACAAAGTGAATTAAGGAAGCCTGGGGGCTACATGACATCCTGTCTTAAAGGAGGGGGGCAAGCTGGATACAGGGTTGTTTTCCTAGTTATTCAGGAAGCTGAGGCAGGGAGACTGCTTGAGCTCAGGAGTTTGAGGCCAGCCTGGGCAACACAGCATGACCCTATCTCAAAAATAAATGAATAAAAAAGATGGGGACTGTAGAGTTAGATCAGCAGTTGGGAGCACACGCTGTTCTTGTAGGGAACCCAGGTTTGGTTTCCAGCACCCACATGGTGACTCGCAACCATCCATAACTCCAGCTGTAGGGGATCCAACACCAACTGACTTCTGAAGACACGAGGCATACATGAACTGTACATAACATACATACATGTAGGCAAGACACTCAAACACATAGAAGACAAAACAAAACAGCTGACTGCAGGGGTCACAGAATAAAACTCCAGTTCCTAGCATCCCCTCCCCAACCTACAGGATACTCTTCTAGAGAGAAGGCAGGAGCTGTGTGGGCACTGGTTGGCTTCAATTTCTCTTTGCCTGCCTGTCGTTCCTATGGACACCTATCTGCACGGTGACTGTCCAAACAGCACTCAGCCTGGTGAAGTTTATGTTACTACCAGCTATCATACCTGAGTACAAATATAGTAACTGAAGGGAGTATAAAATCCCAGTTAAAAACACCAACACCTTCCCACTTTGGACATTTTTACAATTTAAATAAAATTAAAACAATTTCAGGCCAGAATACATTTCACGTTGACATATTTCATAATGTGGATAAAATTATTGCTGGATAGTGGTGGCACATGCCTTTAATCCCAGCACTTGGGAGGCAGAGGCAGAGGCAGGTGGATCTCTGTGAGTTTGATGCTAACCTGGTCTACAGAGTGAGTTCCAGGACAGCCAGGGCTACACAGGGAAACCCTGTCTCAAAACAAAAAACCAAACAAACAAAAAATCCAAAACAAAAATTATTTTCTTTTGTATTTTGAGATAGGGTCTTACTGTGCAGCTCGCCTGGCCTATGTAACTTGCTATGTAGACCATACTGGCTTCAAAGTTAGGGCAATCCTCTCAAGTGCTGGAATTCCAGGCTCCTGCCACCACACCTGGCTCAGGAGGGAAGAGGTAAGGTAAGAGCTAGTACCTTTCAATACAGTTATCTTGTGAATCTCTAAATCTTAAACAGGTGATAAGTGGTGCTACCCCAATGACTCTGTATGTACTGTGCACACAGTACTGTGTTAAGTGGCTGGCAAGCACACACAGGAAGCTAACACAGCTGTGTTCCTGAGGCAGTTCTGTGGACGGGTATACCTGAGTAAATGCCTGGCAATGGTGGACCTGTCCACAGTGACTCTGGAAGATGGAAGCACCACAGGGTCAGACATCAGTGTACTCATGATGGGATCCAGGAACTCGTCACAGGCATCTGCATATGTCTCCTCTTCCTGTTGCTGGAGGTCTGCAAGAGACTGAGGCGACAACAGCTGGTTTCTAAAAGCGAACTCAGAGCAGCTCCCAAACTGCTCAGTCACGACACCTTAAATTTGGTCGTCAATAACCCTCCACAGAGACCACAGAGCTACACTTTGGTTTTTTTTGTTTTTTTTTTTTCAAGAACAAGCCCAAGACCCATGTTTTAGAAGCAGAGGTAGTTCTGCTGCAGGTTGGCTCAGCTGCTGGGAGTCATGGCTGGAAGTGGATGCAAGTGTCAGCAGGAGAAAGAAGGAATACTTCTTTCTGGCAGCGTTCGGCTCTGGATGCTAGGACTTGAAAGGGGAAAGGGCAGAGGCTGGTAGCTGCATAATTACTGAGCTACTCACGCAGCCTGTTTGAAGAGCAGTTTCTGATACAAGCAGGTACAGAGATTTGATTGCCTCCAACAACTGATCCTGTAACTCACTTCCTTAGGTCTGGGTCTGGCTGAGCCAATCAAGCCCAGCTCAAAAAAAAAGGAAAGGCAGACACCAGTAAAGAAGGTTTGAAGGTTCTGTTTTTCTTTTCTTTTTTGGAGACAGGGTTTCTCTGTGTAGCCATGGCTGTCCTGTAGACCAGGCTGGCCTTGAACCTAGAGATCCTCCTGCCTCTGCCTCCCAAGTGCTGGGATTAAAGGTGTGCGCCATCACTGCACTTTAGGTGAAAACAAATAGGTTTTCTATTAGACTTGTGTGCCAGGTACTTTTCCTTTCCCCCCATTTCAAATGGAGCTCTCCTATTGTCCAGCTGGAAGGATTAGCTGAGGACAATAGAGTATCTTAGTCTCTAAAATGCATTTCAGTATAAACCAGCCACCAATAGGAATGTGGAGAACAGGGAAAAGCAGTATAAACAGTGTTTGGGGACGACTCATCTTGGCTCTGTTGTTATTTATTCTGAGTTGGGAGCTCATTATGTTGCCCAAGCTAGCCTTGAATTTGCAATCTTCTTGCTTCAGCTGGGTGGGTGCTGGCTTATAGCCATGTCTCAGCAAGCCTTGCCCTTCTTCCTGAATTTTATTCTAAAAAGTTCTTTTGCATTAACACTAGGTTTTCAAATCTTTCCTAACACTGGGACATAAAAGTTAGTCTAAAGAAAGACTTCACAAATGCACTTTCTTTTCATCTGGTAGACACATCTTCAATTCTGTTATTACTCTCCCTTGGAAGGGGTACTGTTTAGTAAGATGGCTGTTCCCAGTTGTTGACTGACTAGGAGGAAGGACCTGTTTCCCATGCCTCTAGGCAGTAACCCCTTTCTCCCTGAAATAGGGCAAAAGCAGCAGAGTTGAGGTGACAGTGTGGCACTTCTTACTGAATAGATGAGAAAACAAACTGTCCTCCACCTTACCTTGATTCTCTCTGCCAAGTTACTGAAAGCCACGATCATATTCCCAGGCTTATTGATTTTCTTCAGGACTCGGACTGTCTGTGCAAAGAGAGTAGGGGAATAGGAACGGCCATCCTTGGGCACAGTGGCACAGAAATTCTCCTCATCCCTAGGAGGTCAGCATTAGAAAGAAACGGAGCATCAGAGCACAGTCAATGTGTAAACAGCAGATGGGCTACAGAACAATCATTCCATCATGTATAGGCCACAAGTGCTCTTTTCAACTAGAAAGACATTTTATTTCTGCTGTGTATATGTGTATCTCTGTATGTGGTGTATATGTATGTGCATGTATAAGTATGTGTATGGAGGCCAGAGGTCAATGTTGGGTGTCTTCCTCAATTACTTCCCAGACTGTATTTTTTGAGACATGGCCTCTCCTTGATCCCAGAATTCATCAGCTTGCCTAGGCTAGATAGCCAGTGAGCTCCAGGGATCCTCCTGTTTTTGCTTACCCAGTATTGGAATTACAGATGCATGCTACCACATGTAGTTTTTTAGGTGAGTGCTGGGGATCTGAACTCAGATGCTCATGTTTGTGTGGTAAGCATTTTACTGACTAAGATATCTATCTCCCTGGCTTGACATCTAAATTTCTTTCTTCTTTTCTGTTTGTTTTTTTTTTTGGAGACAGAGTTTCTCTGTGTAGGGCTGGCTGTCCTGGAACTCATTCTATAGATCTGACTAGCATAGAATTCAGAGATCTGCATGCCTCTTGCTGCTAAGTATTGAGACTAAAGGTGTGTGCCACCACATCTAATTTTCTACAAGGATGTCTCTATGAAGTGTTCTATGGCCCTAAAAAATGTTTTAACAAATAGCATAACAAATATCATCTTTGCACAGATCAAAAGAGAATGTTGGAAATCATGAACCATGTCCCATGGATCAGATAAAATCTCTCTTCCATTTATCAGCTAGATATGAGTCTTCCTTCCCTCACTGTTTTCACACAATCGCTAGCCAGCCATTCTGCTATCACAACATTAGCACCCCCACAGCTTGCTCAGTGCCAATCTCAGATACCCAAGATTTAAGTAGATCGTGCAGATGTCGGATACAAGCTGCTGAGGTTTGAAGTCAAATTCACTGAAGTCCTTGACTTTGAGAGCGCCCATCTTGGGGCCAACCAGGTGCTGTAGGAAGTAGTTCAGCATGGAGATGATGCGCTCCGCCAGGAAGGGGTGCACGAACAGTGACTTGATCTCTGGAAAAAAGCCAAAGTCTCAGAACTCAACCTATCAGTAATGTTTCCCTTATATCTAATTTCATCAGAGACCTCTAGGATTTTACGTTACATAATACATTTTCAGTGGAGAAATCACAGACCAGCAAAACCAAAATCAAACAAGAAGGAAACAAAAGCTACTACCCACACATGAACACTGTTAAAACATTAGAAAAATACATTTTTGTGTGCACCTGCATGTGTTACAGCGAGGGTGTGAAGTCAGAGGACAGCTGTGGAGTCAGTGCTCTCCTGCCACCATGTGGGTCCCAGGGCTCCAACTCAGGTTGTCAGGCTTGGTGGCAGATGCCCTCATCTAGGAGCCCCACATTTTACTTGTATTTCAGAATTCCTAAATCTACAGTTCATTTTTTCATCCTTTTCTCTCTTAATCTCCATCTCATTTTCCTTCTGCTCCATTTTTAAAAAAAGTTAGTTAGTTAGTTAGTTAGTTAGTTAGTTAGTTAGTTAGTTAGTTAGTTTATTTATTTATTTATTTATTTATTTATTTATTTATTTATTTATTTATTTATTTATTTATTTATTTATTTATTTATTATGTATACAGCATATATGACTGCAGGCCAGAAGAGGGCACCAGATCTCATTATAGATGTTGTGAGCCACCATGTGGTTGCTGGGAATTGAACTCAGGACCTCTGGAAGAGCAGTCAGTGCTCTTAACCTCTGAGCCATCTCTCCAGCCCTTTCTGCTCCATTTTAATGGGAGAGTTCCTCGAGTTAATTTTTTAACCCTTTCATTGAATATTTAAAGTCTATTTGTTTATTTTTATGTGCATTGGTGTTTTGCCTACATGTGTGTCTGTGTGAGAGTGTCAGATGCCCTGGAACTGGAGTTACAGACGGTTGTGAGCTGCCATATGGGTACTGGGAATTGAACCCAGGTACTCAGGAAGAGCAGCCAGTGCTCTTAACCACTGAGCCATCTTTCCAGCCCCTATCTAAAGTTTTAAAGCTACATTTTCAATATTCAAAATGTCTTTCCCTGTACTTTGTGGCTGCCTTATATTCTCTGATTTCCCTGACCTGATAGTTTTTAAAAGAAGCTTTAAAAATTTTTAAAATTGTAGCCAGGTGGTGGTGTACACCTTTAATCCTAGCACCTGGGAGGCAGATCTGTGAGTTTGAGGCCAGCCCAGACTACAGAGTGAGTTCCTGGACAGCCTGGGATACAGAGAGAAACCCCTGTCTCAAAAAAAAAAACAAAAAAAAAAAAAAAAAAAAGGAAAAAACAACAAAAATACCCAAAACACCAAAAACCAAACAACAAAGTTTTTAAAATCTATTTCTGTGATTCTCATTAGACAGTTCCATTTTACTCCTGCTCACTGTCTGTCATATCACACTAAATTTAATCACTGGATGAAAATTATTGGTCCTCTTCCCTCCCTCATTTGTTGTTATTTGCCCCAGGCTGTCACTGTGTAGCTCAGGCTGGTCTAGGACTCAGAGTCCTTCTGCCTCCATCTCCCAAGAGGATGCAAAACCATGCCTAGATTTATGTTTTTATAACACACACACACACACACACACACACACACACACACACACACACACACACACACAGAGTTAATGGCTAACTCATTCTAACAGCAGTTTTTGGGGTATCGGGATTGAATTTAGGGCCTTGCACACACTAAGCATGTACTCTACCACTAAGCTGCACTCCAAGCTCCTTCAAGAAACCAACTGTGTTACTAGCTTCTGTTTTCTGGCATGTCAGTAATGGGCACCATCATTCATTTTGAAGTTTCCCTGATTTGTTTCACTCTCAGATGTGGAAGTTAGAGTCACCAGAGTCCAATTTTCTTTTGGACAGGGTCTCGTACATCCCAAAGTGTTCTGGAACTTATTATGTAGATTTGAGTAACCTCAAACTTCTGATCCTCCTGCCTCAACATCCAAAGTGCTGGAATGACAGGTGTGTGCCACCATGCAGGGTTTCATTTGGGCTAGGCAGGCACTCTACCATCTGAGCTGCAGTCCAGTTCCAGATTCTAACTCTTTTAACGTTTAGTTGGGCTGATCCCCTAAGTGAAACAGACCTTGACTCCTGAATTTTGAGAAAGCGGACCATCATGTTCTTACCTGATGTCAGGAAGGAAAGGGTACCGATTGTTTCGTTGGACATGATGTTATGGAAACGTGCCAGCTGTCCAAACATCTGCAGGCCAGCCTCTTTCTCTCGGCGAGCTTCTGGCGAAAGACTTTCCCATTCTCCTCGGTCTTTCTCGATCTGCTGAATCTTTATCTTGCTCAAATACTATGGAAACCAGAAATGTGATACATCAGATAAGAGAATGCAATTGAAGGGTCGTAACATTTAAGAAGGCTTAATTAAAATCCAGTCAACTGGGTTTAGAACGGTGGCTCAATGGTTACAAACTCTCACTGCTCTTGCAGAGGATCAGGGTTTGACTCCTAGCACCAACAGTGTGGCTCATAACCAACCCCCTGGAACTGTAGTCCCAGGTCGGATGCCCTCTTCTGGCCTTCATGGGCACTGTATGCATTTGCATACATTGAAGCAAAACACTAATACACTTAAAAAAAAAAAAAAGCCGGGTGGTAGTGGTGCATGCCTTTAATCCCAGCACTCGGGAGGCAGAGGCAGGTGGATCTCTGTGAGTTTGAGGCCAGCCTGGTCTACAGAGTGAGTTCCAGAAAAGGCGCAAAGCTACACAGAGAAACCCTGTCTCAAAAAACAAAAAAACAAATAAAACAAACAAACAAAAAAATCAGACACCATGTAAAGGTCCTGAGCCTTTGTCAATACAGGGCTGGAGCTTAAGACCTTTTGGAGGGCTAATGTGATGGGTCAGTGGGTTAAGGCACTGTTACCAAGGCTGAATGATGACCTGAGTTTGATGCCCAGAACCCTCCTGGTGAAAGGAGAAAACAGCCTCCCTCAAGTTGTCCTCTGTCCTCCATGTGCATTCTAGCAAGTGTACACACATGCACACGCACACGCACACACACACACACACACACACACACACACACACACACACACACTAAATCTTAAAGTCCTCATAGAGATTTGTCTCAGCTTGAATAGACTGGTAGGTAACTGGAACTAGGACACTGTCTGGAGGGGAGGGAGGACCAGTGGAGCAGCATATGGAGCCCAGGCTAAAACACCAGGCTACCAGGAAAAAGGAATCCTTCCTAAAACAAAACCACAAAATGTTCAAAGCTTGCTCACGAAAAACCAAAGTTCTACAGACATGCCTGATGTCTAAAATTAATTAGAATGTCCTAATTACTAAAGCTTTCACCTCTCATCATCCTACAACTGCAGCAAACAATGAGTTATCCAATTTCAGGAGAATGCCATTTGTTTTACTCCCTGAATCATACTGTCCCTACTTACTAGATCTGTTTATCAGAGGAACTGCTCTCATTTCCTCCGAGAACCTATCTAAGTGTCAGAGTGCAGGATTATGAAAAGAGCAGGAGGCCAGATCCCTCTCACAAACTGAACCCAAGTTACTTAGTGGGTTATCAACGAGAGCTCCTGACTGTCCAGTAGGCTACCCTCAAACTAAGCTGTACCTCCTCCTGGAGGTCACTGCCTGGTCATACTGATGCTCCTGCCTCCACCAGGAGCTCCTGTCCAGCTGCAGGGCTAACACAGCACACAGCTAAGCCCAGACTAAAACTGCTGCAACTGTGAGCAAAAGCATCCTTCCTTCTTTAGGCTGTTCTTCTCGGGTGCTCTGTAATGAAAATCTGACAGTTGCTGACTAAGTTAAGATCCTATGATTTCTTTTCACATTGCTGGCCTGTTGGTACACCTTAGTTTGGCTTTATTACACACTCATGTGTATGTAGGTTCACCACATGTGTGCAGGAGCCTGTGGAGGTCAGAAGATGGTGTTGGATGCCCTGGAACTGGAGTTACAAGTAGTTGTGAGCTGCCATGTGGGTGCTGGGAACAGGTCCTCTGCAATAAGTAATAAGTGCTCTTGACCACTAAGCCATTTATTTCTCCAGCCCCAATCCCATCTTTTAAACTCTCAACCAAAGAACCACCCAAGCCCATGAAGCTTCAACAATGACCCTTGACCTTGTCTCTAATGAAATGATAAACCTAGAAAGTGGCATACTGGCAAGAATGGGGCACACAATTACACAGACATTTTTGGTGTGCAGGACTGTTCTAAGGCAAGGATTACTCTATTATAATTAAACTGTCAAAAGAATATACTCTCTGCCAGGTGTACTGGTTCATGTCTGAAATCCCAAAACTCTAAGAGGCTAAGGTGAAAGGATTCCTGTGAGTTTGAGGTCAGCTTGGGATAAAGAGTGAGAGAAAACTTGTCTAAATACCTCCCCCACCCCACCCCCACACCCCCACACGAAACCAAATCAAACACTTTACCATCACCCTACCACCACCAATGCTGATGATCTGAAGCCTTCCTCATTGACACCACTACAGATGGTAGAGGAACACATACAGTTCTTTCTTTTTTACCTGTATGGCTTCATCCAAAAGGAAGATAGCATCATTCATCAACAGGTTAAGAAATCGGAGGAACAGTGGGGGATTCATAGCTTCTAAATTCTTAGAGGCATAGTCAGCCAAATCCTGTAAGTCCCAGCCCAAGAAGAAGAAGATATTTTAGTGCCAAATTACAACTTTACTGAGGCTGACCTGAAGCAACTGGTTTCATGAAAACCTCTTTTACCTTAATGCTCTCCCGGTAGCTATCTGTCCCCCACATGTATCTTAGGATGGGATACATAGGGCGGCGGTAATTAAACTTCTGTTCAAATTGATGGGGGTCCCCTAGAGTAAGGTAAGAAAGAGAAATCAGAAGGGTGGTCTAATAGAGGAGGAGCAGGAGCTTATGCACATGCATTTTCTTCACTCTGAATGTCAAGGCTGCTGCCAAAATCTTCTCCAGGAGTTCCCCCAGCCCACACCCCTGTGGTGCCGGGATGAAACCTAGGCTGTAGCTATGATTCCTTGCACAAGATCACATCAATAAGACTAGTAACATTCCAACAGGCAGCACTAATTGGATTCAGTGGGTTGTGGATAAAAAAAGGTGCAGATGTGAAAGAGAAAAAGGAACATGTAGGGAGTACCCGGAGAGGGTGGGGGGCGGGAATTGGGAGTGGATATGATGAAGCATTCTTTACATGTATGAAACTGTTAAGGGATAACGATATTGTATTAAAAACACACACAACACACAAACCATAGGCCTTGCACACATTAAGCAAATGTGCTACCACTGAGCTACATCCCCCCCCAGCCTTCTCTAAGAATCCACCCCACCCCACCCCCACCCTGAGACAGGGTTTCTTTGTGCAGTCCCGGCTCTCCTGGAGCTCACTCTAGAGACCAGACTGGCCCAGAACCCAGAGATCCGCCTGCCTCTGCCTCTGGGTCCCGAGTGCTGGGACTGAAGGCCTGCGCCACCGCTCCCAGCTTTCTCTGACCATTTCTAAGGCCTAGAATTGGAGAAGTGTTGGTTTTCTTGACTAAACAGGGAAACAGCTAGAGAGGACAGCTCACTTAGTAAAGGGTCGGGACCAAGCTGTTCAAAGAAAAAAGAGGCCAAGACCAAAGGTTTCTGCATCCAAATACGGAGCATGCAGTGAGACCTCTGTGAGGCCACTGCGGCAGCAAAAGTCATGTGCAGAGTGGAACACTAAGTGATCACCGCATTCTTTACAGAGAACATCCCAGCCATGGGGCCAATTGGCTCTTGATTATTCCAAACAATCCTGTCAGAAGCTAGAAACCTGAGTCTTATACAGGTCTGATTTATCAACATTATCATAAGACCTCTCCAGACTGGCTCCTAATAAAGGAAGAATGAAGCTAGACAGATACCATAGCTGGATTAGGGGCCGAGTTTTCTCTTGTTCTGCTTAATGCAAGTCTCCTGCTCCCCCTTCCTCCTCCCACATCCTCCTCTTTTTCTTTCACTCATTTATTTTGAGAAGGCCCTTGTTATATAACCCAAGGTGGTTTTTCTTTTCTTCTTTTTTTGGGGGGGTGGTGGGGGCAGGGTCTTTCTATATAACCCTGGATGGTCTGGAACTTGCTATATAGACCAGGATGTCATGGAGTTTCACCTACCTCAGCCTCCTGAGTGCTGGGATTAAAGGTGTGAGCCACCACAGCTGGCTCTAGGTTTCTTTCTTTCTTCCTTCCTTTCTTTCTTTTAATTTATTTATTTTTATTTCATATGCATTGGTGTTTTGCCATGGGTATTGAGTCTCCAGGAAATGGAGTTACAGACAGTTGTGAGCTGCCATGTGGGTGCTGGGAATTGAACCAGGGTCCTTTGGAAGAGCAGTCAGTGCTCTTGACCACTGAGCCATCTCTCCAGCCCTCTAGGTTGGTTTCTAACTACATCTTTTTGTCTCTGCCTCCCAGGCATTCAGATTACAACAGGTACGCACCACCACGCCTGGTTGAGCAAACCTGTTCTGACTTCCTGACAGTTCTCTGGCAGTCTGGCCACAGTGGGAGCAGCACAGTGACCACTGTGCACGTCCTCCTTACAGGGGAAGGTTTACATGCACGATGTCACCGAGTCATCACTTTTTTTTTGTTGTCTTTTTTTGAGACAATTTCTCTGTGTATCCCTGGCTCTCCTGGAACTTACTCTGTAGCCCAGGCTGGCCTTGAATTCTGCATCTCTCTGCCTCCCGAGGGCTGGGATTAAAGGTGTGCCTGGCTTTGACTCATTTTACAGGTGAGGAAATGGAGACCCAGAGTAAGCAAGAGACAAAGGCAGAAAACAAATATGGAAAGTTAGCTAATAAAATGCTAAATGCCTTTTTAAATGTCAACTGCATGTGTCACCAGACGGCAGAAGTCCCCTTTAAAAAGACTCTCATACAACTGTTGAACATATCTTGCCTACTAATTCAGACGAAGTTCTGCTTAATCAAACCCAGGGGCTCAGGATGAATAGCAAGACAGTGTTGTTTCCTGGCAATGTTTTCTTTAACTCATTTTTTGGATACGTATATACATGTTTGTGTGTGTGTGTCCATATATGTATGTGTATGTGTGCGCATTTGCACATGGACATATGGAGGCTAAAGGTCGACACCAAGTGTCTTCTTCAATTGCTCTCCACGTGTTTTTTGTTTTTGAGACAGAGTCTTTCACTAAATCTGAGCTCACTGATTGGCCAGACTGATTGGCCAGCGAGCCCCAGGCATGCTCCTGTCTCTGCCTCCCTAGAACTAGGATTGGGTGCATGTTGCTGCATCTGGCTTTTTTATCTGGGTCCTAAGGCCCGATTGCAGGTCCTCACGATTGCCATGCTTGCCAACACTATGCAGGTGGGTTCTTTTTTTTTTTTTCTGTTCTTGTTGTTTGTGTTTTTGTGAGACAGAGCTGGTGCTACCTCTTTTAGTTGTATGATACAGACAAATAATTAAAACTTTTTGAGCATCTGTATTCTCACATATAACATGAGAACAATATAGATAAACCTTCAGATAGACAAGGTAATATACAGGAAAACATAAAGCACTCTGCATCAAGCCTAGCACACAGTAAGTATTCAAGAAATGCTGGCTGACATTTCTGTGACATTCAAAAGTGACCAAGCTGTGAAACTTAGTTCTCAGCTGTAGAGCTAGTCAGTCACAGGACTTCTTTACCTGTAAATTCAATGTCCACGAAAACCTTGATTAGGGCTTCTGAAAGTTGGGGAGCATATGTAAAGTTGCAGAACACACGTTTCCGGTGAAACACACTGGACACCAAGGGATTTGGGGTCTGATCCAGGTGAGGCATTACTGCTTCCAGCACCTCCGCTAGTTTGGCCCTTAGGTGGGGATTCTTCATTCTGCAGAGGGCAGGAAGCAAGATGAGCAAGAGAACTTGATTCCCCGGTATGATCCTATTCCACACAAGGAGCCAGGACATGCTCTATCACTATCACATACACAAAAGTCACCCCTGTTTCAAGTTTGTCAGTACTTGGCTGATGCAGGATATACCATTTAACATGTTGTTTGAGATGGTTTTACTATGCATGTAGTCCTGGCTGTCCTGGAACTCCCTTTGCAGACTAGGCTGGCCTTGAGCCTGTGGCAGTCTTCCTGTCTCCGCCTCCTGAGTGCTAGGATTATAGAAGCGCACTATTATGCCTATCCATTTAACTCTTGAGGGGACAGCTTACCATGTATGAGGGAGCACTTCGGTTTCCATGTAAAGCTTAGACATTCGATTTTCTTCTCTACATCAATGTACTATCTACTATGTACTATTCTTTGACGGATTCATCTTGAATAAATTTACCTTCCCAAGCTTACTGAAGGCAAAGGTTAGGTTATAATTATCATATAGCACCCATACTCCCAACCTGTGGGTCTAATCAATGCTTGTTGGCTTCTGACTTCCCTTTGGGTCTGCCCAGCTCAGTGAAGGTTGGCTTCTATAATCTGATGTCCCTTAGAGAATTGTGGACTTTTTATTTTGCAGCAAATGTGCCCTTTGGTGCACAGAAATTGTTTCCTTTGGCCTACATATATAACCCCAACCCCCAACCCCAGATAAAAATATCAGGGAAGCAGTTTTAAAAACCATAGTACCTCTGTGTCAGAGCAAAGGCTAGAAGTAACATGAACCTAGGTTTACCACTAACGCAACTCAAGGAGCCGGAGCAAGCTTTGGTTCACATAATTAGTGAAGAATTTAGCACTTGGCTGCCACTGGTATGGCCTCTGGTATTCTGGTTAACTATTTTAACCAGGGACCAGCAGTGGAATTCCCACCAGGCACTTTATATTCAGGTTCAAATTCTCTGTAGGCAGAGTCCTCTGCTTATTAAGTCTCACCACAGCAGGCAGAATGTTTTGTAGCTCTAAGAGTGTTGGGGCAAGCTTCCAGCACATCACCTTTCTATGCTTCCCGTGAAAATGGTGATAAAGTGAAGGACATGCTCCAGGGAATCTGCTGATGTCTCCAAGATGTCCTCAGCAAAGCGCCGGAGAAAAATGAGGAAATCACCCAGGTTATCTGCAAAAAATTCTGAAAAAGATTTGCTAGAATTAGCCAAATAGCTGTTCATTGGTCCCAAACAACATCCCAGTCCCTCCCTTCACATTAATTAACGAAGGTTTAAAAAACCCAAAAGTCTTTTGGACTTTTATCACCATCTAAGTATCAGAGATGGTGGTAAGTTACCAACTGTGGGATCTCTTACATGTGCATCAAGCTTTATTATTATCTGAGTAGAAACATGAACAGTAGTGACACAAAATATTGCTAACACTAGCATGCTGTGCCCCAAAGGCCAGTCAAAATTTAAGCCACACTTTAGGTGTGGCTAATTACACTAGGTGACTGCAGCAAGGAGCTCCAGGGTGGTCCTCCAAGCATCCCCCGCTTTGGCACTCATACCTTGGCCAAGTCCCTTTCTGGATTATTCTAGGCTAGGCGATGCCCTGATTAGAGTGCATCATTGTCAAGGTTAGTTATCAAGTTTGCAGCTTTCGTTTGGGTCACCTGTGCTGGCACACCACAAGTGGTACTAAGGGATGTGTGGGGCAAACAGCTGAGGCCTGTTGACAGCCACATGACTGGATTTGTAAGTGGATCCTTCAACTCCTGTGGAGTGCTCAGAGTCCTATGGCTCTGACTGACAGCTGGTCACAAACTCATTAGTACTCTGAGCTAGGATCACACAGTCAAGTGTTCCTGGATTTCTGATCCAGAGAGCTATGTGTGATAATGTTTGTTGTTTTAAATTGCTATGTTTGGGGGGAAGTAACTTGTTACATAGCCATGCAAGACCAGTACAGTATTCAAGAACATTTAATTTGATTAGTGAGCAACATTTACTGACCCCTCACTGACATACCATACACACAATCCCCCTTCTGAGTTAACTAACAAGAAGAGGTGGTCTGTATTTTTCTAAAAGAGCTCAGGGAGAGTTAGACAGACAAATTCTAAGTTTGAAAGACAAACAATATTAATGACAGAAGCTAAGAGCTGTGAAAACCCTGACTACAGCTCCTCTTTTGAAGGCTGTTTTCTGACTGTCAGAACACTGGAGACACACAGCAGGGGAAACAACTGTTAGTGCCCCCATGCTTTGGCCAGGAGATGTTATTTGCAAGTTTGAGTACTTTCTCTAAAAACAATGGGATGATAACTAAGGACGGGTATTTTGAGGATTAAGCTTCCAAGGTGACCCAGTTAAACTTAGGTGGCTATTAATAGTATGTTCCCAAGGGACAGGCTGCTTACCTGGCACATAAGCCAAAGAGCTGTAGCCATCTGGCAAAGGAAAACTTAGCTCTATTGGCTGTGAGCCCTCATTGCCTATGGCCAGTTGAACCAGCAGAACAGCCATGGACACCTGCAAATTCAGGCAGTTTTGCAGCATCTGGGGCTCAGTCATAGCAGTCTTGGTAGAAAGATAGATGGTCATCAGGCGTTCAAACTGCTCACGGAGACTGTCAGCAGCAGGGCTAGAACTCTGCTGAGCATCCCGCCAGGCAACCTGCAGCCGATGCAGATTTTGGTTGATTTTTACCATCTGATCATGCAACCTGCCCCCAAGAAAGCAGAAGAGACCGGTCAGGGAGGCTCATGTGGGGCAGTGTAGTATAGACCACGCTGGCAAGCAAATCCTCGTTTGGTTATTCTAGTATTCTAAGGTTGTGGACAGTTGTAGGCACAATGACACAGAAGGCACTCACAAAGTCACTGACTGGACAGAAGCAAGGTGCACTGCTCTGGGAAAATGTTACCATGTCCTCTGACTGAGCAGGGTGCAGAGTGAGCTGTTATTACTGAAGACGGTCATTTTAACAAGGCAGAGTATGAGCAGCCCAGCATAAGCTTTAGGGTGGGGCCAGTGGGTGACCTTTGCACAGTTAGAAAACTGAGCAGACAAAAAACGAGTCTTGATTATAATGACCACACATAAAGCATCCGTCACTTGAAAGGAAGACCTAGAAAAGCTACTGATAACTGCTTCTACATCTACAGTTCTAAATCACCCCCGTGGTTCTTTTGTTGTTATTTTTTTTTGTTTGTTTTTGTTTTTTTGTTTTTTGTTTTTTTTTTCTAAGACAGGAGTTCTCTGTGTAGCCCTGGACATCAAACTCACAGAGATCCACCTGCCTCTGCCTCCCAAGTGCTGGGGTTAAAGGTGTGTGCCTCCACCGCCTGGCCTACTCCCTTTGTTCTCGTGGACAGTGACTAGGGTTACTGACTGGAAACTAGATGTTTGGCCTCTAGACTGAATCTAGACTGTCAAGCAGATTGAGCAGTTCAATACATGCTCAATTCTGTCATCACATTTAAAATGTCAACAACAGGTTAGAAAAAGTATCTAACAAAGATATATTTTTCCCCCCAGTAATTTGTTGCTGGAGTTTTGAAAAAAAAAAAAAAATGCCGTAAGCACTGAGAAGGCATTTAAAACAAAAAATCAGTATTCCAGGCCAGGCGTGTGATGCACGCCATGCCTTTACTCCTAGCACTCAGGAGGCAAAGGCAGGCGGTTCTCTGAGTTTGAGGCCAGCCTGGTCTACAGAGCAAATTCCAGGACAGCCAGGACTACAGAGAGAAACCCTGTCTTGAAAAACAAACAAAGAAGCAACAATTAGTGTTCCTGGGATTTGGGGGCTGGCTCAGTTGGGAAAGTTGCTTGTGGTGAAAGGATGAGACCTGAATGCAGACCCCAGATCCCTTGTAAAAGCGGAGTCTGGTGGTGTGCTCCTGCAGTCCTGATGCTGGCCAGAGACAGGGGGACGCCTGGAGTCTTGCAAGTCAGTGAGTTCCAGGTTCAGTGAAAGATCATTCCTCAAAAGATGTGGTGGGGAGTGACTGAGAAAGCCACCTAAGACCAGCCCTTGACTTCTAAATCACACATGAGCATGTGTATCCTGTCCCCCCACCCCAAGTAAAAACAAAATTGGTATTCATAATACTTTCTATAGATCAGAAATACATCATCTCTCCCCCCCCTTATACTGGCAATCATTCTCAGCTAAGTAAGAGGCGGACACGGTAGAGTGACATGTAGCTGGCTTGCTAGAAACGGACCCTCTTGGACATTCTACACACAAGTTCTCAGCCTTCCCATTTTTAGAATCCTTTCTCTTAGGCTCACAGCTCTTTTGTGGTCATATTGGTCTTACTGGAATCCCTTATCATCATTCTTTCAATTTTTTTCAGTTTTGTCTCTTGGTCTTTTGGTATCAGAAGTAATAAGAATTCAAGAGTAGAAAGTGAAATGTAAAATGAAAATAATTTGACTTTCCTAGATAATAACAGAAAGATAGGAATTGAAAATTTGGAAAATGTGGAGAAAAACAGTAGCACGTTGTTAATTTTTTAAAAATAGATAAAAACTGTACAAAGTAATCTGTACAAAGCGGCCTCAGGTAAATTCAAAGCCACGCACACGGGTTCTTTCCTTCTGCCATGCTGACATGAGTCTTAGACTCACTGTCAACTGTGAGCTGTCAACACAGCTCCTCGCTCTTCCCAAACAGTTCCTTCCCAAGGACATCCAAGGAGTTACCTGTGAAAGCCCAAGAAGAGGGTGTACTCTGTCAGGGCCAGGTTCTCCGTCACAAGGTTGTAGCTCTGGGGGAACACTGGCTCCTGCACAGCGGGGATCAGACAGGTCTCTTTGTCCAAACCTCGAGGAAGTGGAAAGAGAGACGGTGACGGCTCACACTCGTGATGGCTCACACTGTCTGACGTGGTCTTCAGCCTCTCTTGACTTCTGCTCGGGGCCTACACTGCTACACTGCTATCTCCCTCACAACACAGCTCCTACGACTTCCTTGTCTAAAAACACTGGCTGGCTTCTTGCTCTCCACAGAAATAGTTAAATCTCTCACTGAACCAACGAAATCAGCAAAAACTAAAACGAGTGGTAATATTGTATCTTTTCAAGGTGATAGGCAATGAACCATTTCTACTTATTCTATGTTTTTCTGTGTTCAGGCTGAGTGACTTTGCTGCAGATATTAGTTTTATAATTATAAGAGGATTTAAAAAACGCCTAGAAGGAAATCCATCAAAACTGAGGAGAGATTCATTCTGAGTGACAGAATCAGGGCTGGTTCATTTTCTTCATTTTTACTTCTCTGTGTTATTCAAGTTTTCTCCAGCCTGGTGTCAGCTTTCTTCCTTCCCACTTCCCATCTCTTACTCTACACTCCCCTTGCTCTAACTACATGGAACTTCTTACTATTCCTCAATAAAGACCTTCCACAGATTTTTTTTCCTAGACAGCTTCCAAGTCAGAGACCCGCCTGCCTCTGCCTCTCAAGCGCTCCGATCAAAGGCATGCACCACCACGCCCTACCGTAGCTCCTTCCAGACTTTCCCCTGTTCTTGTCCTGCCAGACACTCCTGCTCCTTTGCCTGCTGAGCCCTGAGGTGTCTTTCAAGACTCAGCCATGGAGAAGACCCCAGCAGCTTCTGCAGAGCTGGTCCCTCACTCCTTCCTGCTCCACTGTCACCATGTCAACCTGTCTGTCCTCTGAGTTCTAAAACTATGGCAGCTGTGGTCTACCGCAGTTCTATAAAAGGTGAGGGAGTGAGCATCCACGGCTGTCAAAACAGACAGAAGGTCTCACCAAGGCCTGACTTTGAAAAGTGACAGTCGTTTTTAAAAACCCGTCTTTAAAATCTTTTCACCAGCTCACCAGTGTGCCTCATCTGTTTTGAACAAGAGGCACTTTCTCAGAGGCTAAGGGAGCAAATGCTTTAGAGGTGACACACACATTCACTGTTTTGAAAAGCCCAGTTCCCCGCCTACCTCTCATGTGGACATTTTTAATTTTTCGTTCTTCATCATTCAACTCTTTCAGGACACAGTATGAGGGATTAAAAGTGAGGAGCCGAGAGGATCTGGGTTTGCAGAATGGCTGGCACAGCTTCAGGAGAGCAGCACCCAGATTCAGAAAGAAGGCATCTGAGGCATACATTTGGAAGAAGATTTCGGGCATCTGATTGGCCCAGATCTTGGTGCGGCCTGCATTTGCATGCAAACAGTTTCCAAGCCAGAACAAGATACAGTGCTTGGTTTCTGGAGAGAGCTGGAGCAAGTTCTTCAGCATCTGGTAGATCTTTTCATGGAACTGAGCCATGAACTGTTTAACCAGAAAACACAACCACAGAACATTCCAATTTCACAATCCTGGTATTTTCTTTTTTCACTCCTAAACCCTAGCAAATACAAGTTTCTAAAAATATGCTAATCTTAATCTTTTCCTTCACTCTTTTCATACCTTATTCTCTGATTCTGATTTTTAAAAATATGTGTATTTTTGAGACATTTTCTGGTTAGTTGCCAAATTGCAGAAAGTTGTATAGGTTTTACATTTGGGATCTTTCTGTAAGGTGTTAATGATAAATTCTCTGGCTCTGTCATAGTTCTCATAGCAATTATTCAACTCTGCTGTAGAATGAAACTGAGCCATAAACAATACAAATAGACATGGTTACAATCAATAAATATTTTTAATTTTTAGATTATATTTATTTAGTGTTAACGTATTTAGTATGTGGGAGGGGCGTGCAATTGAGCATCCCGTGTGAGGATGTTTGGGAGCAGGTGCTCTCTTTCCACTACGTGGGTCCTGGGAGCTGTACTCAAATCATCAGGCTGGATGACAGGCATCTTTACTGAGCCACTGAGCCATCTCATTGGCCACAATAAATCTTACACAAAACAAAACAAAAAAACATGGGCAGTTGGCTTTGGCTACTGCTGTCGCCTGCTGAACACTGCTTGACAGCATCACGATGACTAGAGAGTAAATGGAACACTTGAACTGCCCTGTCAGCCATCCAGTGCCCCACAGCCAGCCATCAAATACCAGTCAGACTCTGCTAAGTCTTATGTTGAGAGGTCTACACATAAAGAGAAGGACAAGGGACAAAGAGATTTATAAGATGGCCTTTAGTCAAAAGGTTTCATGAGTCAAGTGACAATAACTGTCTTGGCAAGAAGGGCAAGGACTGAAGGGGATGTGACAGTGCTGTCACATACTGCAGGTTCTATATAATCTACATGTTTGTCCTCACCCAACACTGAAGCCCATCCTCTCCTCAAAGTGAAGGGTAGGAAGAAGGGGATATTGTTTTGTTTTGTTTTTTGAGACAGGGTTTCTCTGCATAGCCCTGGCTATCCTGGAACTCGCTCTGTAGACCAGGCTGGCCTTAAACTCAGAGACTCACCTGCCTGCCTCCCGAGTGCTGGGATTAAAAGTGTATACCAAGAGTGATTTCTTTGCTTCCTTCATTTTTGAGATAGGCTCTTCTATAGTACAGTTTTGTCTAGCACTTGCTATATAGCTCAGGGTGGTTCTGAACTCCTAATCCTCTGACTCTATTTCATAAGTGCTAGGATTACAAGCCACCTGATCCCTCCCAATAAGAAGGCAATTTCGTTGTGTTATTATGACAGAAGCCAACCAATATGCCTTCCCAAAGAGGCTGAAGCAGCCTTATCCCTACATGGTTCCTGAGGAAATGCTCATCTCAAATCAGGGGGCTGTGACACCCTGGGAAACAGTTCCACCTGATGAATGTTGGCCTCTTGTACTTTGATCTCCTGAGGACTGGAACGAGATGGATTCAGAAAGTAGCCATGATTTTCTACTACACCCGGAGTCTTTAACAAGCACGAGATATTCAGAATTACTCCCAGCAAGGTCTTCTGATACATCTGCCCATTGCTAGGATCCTTGGGCTGAATGTATTCTAAAAAAACCTGTAGGAAAGGACAAAACCTACTTATTCATCTGTATGGTGAGATAAAGGGGATGAGCTGCAAGGGTCTCAATACAACCAACCCATATACACACACACACACACACACACACACACACACACATACACACACACATATATACATACATGTATGTATATGTCTAGTACACATACTTTTTTCTTTATAAAGATTTATTTAGTTAGTTTATGTATATCGGTGTTCTATTTGCATATATGTCTGCATGACACAGAGGGCATTAGACAGAAGAGGCCATCAGATCCCATTATAGATGGTTGTGAGCCTCCATGTGGGTGCTCAGAATTGAACTCAGGACATCTGGAAGAGCAGCCAGTGGGCTTAACCACTTAGCCACCTCTACAGCCCTTCTGTTTTCTTTTTCTTTTTCCCCAAGACAGGATTTCTTTGTGTAGCCCTGGCTGTCCTGAAACTTGCTCTGTAGACCAGGCTGGCTTTGAACTTTGAGATCCACCTGCCTCTGCCTCCCGAGTGCTGGGATTAAAGGCGTGCACCACCACTGCCTGGCTCTCTTGTTTCTTTTCTTTTTTCCTTCTAAAGGCCAGGTGTTATAAAAGCCAAGCCAGCCTCAAATTACAAGAAAAAACTGTAAACTTTTATTTATTTGTGTGCCTGTGTGTGCGTACCATGGGCACAGTGTGGAGGTCCGAGGACACCTTGTGTGTGGGAGTTGGTTCTCTCCTTCTCTTCTTTCCTCATGTGGGTTCTGGGGATCAAGTGTAGGTCTTTAGGCTTTCTAGCAAGTGCCTTTACCCACTGAGCCATCTCATCAGCCCTGTCCCCAGGGCCTCAAATTCCCATTGTAGCTGAGGATAACGTTGATCCTCCTGCCTCCACTTCCTAAGTACTAGGATTCCAGGCACATGACACCATATCTGGCTTTCTATAGGCAATGTGAGAGTGTTGTCAGGACAGGAAGCATCAAGTACTATGCTGTCAGCACTATGAGCAGAGGGTGCCTTTGAGACCTACCTTGGCCATATCCTTTTGCCTAGTGAAATAGAGAAGAATATCCAGATATGCATACAGTAGGGTCTGGCAGAGCTCCAGATCTTTTATTCGGCCTAGTAAAATATCAAACACTGGAATCATGACTTCAGGAAATGTTCGAACTTCCTCATCCAACAGCAAGGCTTCGATGACCTCTTCTAAAAACTCAGTTACATCTTCAAAATCTAACAGAAGACAGATGAGAAAGGAAGGAGGCCATGTCAGTTTTTATGTCTGTATACACTGTTTCACGTTCTCTCCGTCTGTCTGTCTCTGTTGTGGTACAGGAATTGACTCAAAGGCCTGGTGAATGTCAGGCAAGTGTTCGACTAGACTAGCGCTTGACCAATGAGCTGCGTACCCACTTCCAAACCCTGGCCCTCGATGATTTACTTACTTTTATTTATGTGTGTGGGTGTTTTGCCTGCCTGTATGCCTGTGTGCCAAGTGCATGCAGTGCCTGTGGGGGTCAGAAGAGGGCAGTGGATCTGCCTGGAACTGGAGTTACACACAGTTGTGAGCCACCATGTGGGTGCTGAGAATTGAACCTGGGTCCTCTGGAAAAGCAGCCAGAAGTGCTCTTAACTCTTGAGGCATCTCTCCAGCTCCTCTATGATATTTTTTAGAATTCTGATGGTTTGAGGCCTAAAGATCAAGGTGTAAGCTGTCTTCCTTAATTTCTATCAGAATCATAATGGTTCTAAGACTCTAAAACCATTAGAGGAGATTTTCTTTATTTTCGGTTTTTAGAGACAGGGTTTCTCTGTGTAGTTTTGGTTCCTGTCCTGGAACTCCCCCTGTAGACCAAGCTGGCCTCAAACTCACAGAGATCCACCTGGCTCTGCCTCCCAAGTGCTGGGATTAAAGGTATGCGCCACCACCGCCCTGCTTAGAGAAGTTTTAAATTGGTATTCTAAATGTAGATGTTGAAAGACCTTCCTTTTATACTCACGGGCTCCCTGAATGGCTTCTAACATCAAATCTACCAGTTGCTCATGGATGTTTTGGTCAACATAGATCTCTGGGGTGAGGAGAACTGTTCGAGTGTTGGACACAGTGAGGTTCCTGCACTGTACTGCAAAGGGGAGCAGGTTCTCTGGAACTTTGGTAATCTACAACGAAGAGAGAAAAGCACAGTTTTCTATAACTCGGAGCAAGGGTGGGTACAGTAAATAGAATGGAACACACATCACGTCCCCAAACAGTATTGGTTTCTTTCTTCTTCTTTTTTTGAGACAGGATTTCTCTGTGTAGTTCTGGCTGTCCTGCTCTGTAGATCAGGCTGGCCTCAAATTCAGAGACTCACCTGCCTATGCCTGGGATTAAAGGTGTGTGCCACCACTGTCTGGCAGTATTGGTTTCTTGGGGACTGGAAATTCATGACAGACTTGTTCTTTGGCTTAAAAGATCACCTGATAAAATTCTAATCCTGAAGATGTCAAGTTCAGCCCAGTTCAGGATTTCTGTCTCCCTGGAAATGCTGTTAGCAGAGAAGGGTTTTGCTTGGTTTATGTTGTTTTATTTCAGTCTCACTATGTACTATAGGCTGGCCTGGAACTTGTAGCTTGTCCCACTGTGTAGACATGGAGACCAGGCTGGCCTGGAACTTGTTTCACTGTGTAGACATGGAGACCAGGCTGGCCTGGAACTTGTTTCACTGTGTAGACATGGAGACCAGGCTGGCCTGGAACTTGTAGCTTGTTTCACTGTGTAGACATGGAGACCAGGCTGGCCTGGAAGTTGTAGCTTGTCTCACTGTGTAGACATGGAGACCAGGCTGGCCTGGAACTTGTAGCAATCTTTGTGCCTGTGCCTCATGAGTGCTGGTTACAGGCATGTGACTGATAAGGTGTTTAGTCTTTTTTTTTCTTAAGGGTGTGATTTCTAGAGAGTTATATTTGGAGAATAAGAGGCACTGGTTAACTGCGAAGAGAGATGGAACCCAAGCCACAGACAGACTAAGGCTTTATGGCAATCTCATAGTGCTATGAATACTCTGTTCCAGATATGCCATGAGATACATATATATTATGACATGAAAGACATTGATCCAACCTCACTCACATGCTAAAGTTACTCAAGAGGATAATCTAAAACTCCACGGGGCTTTACCTCTTCCTTGGCTCTTTGGAAGCAGGAGTAAAGGTAACAAAAGATGTGCCTCTCCCCTGCATCTCGATCAGCAGAGAGATTTAACGTTGTAGAAGAAGTCATGCTGATCAAGTGGTTTCCTGGATCTTGAAGCAATAACCGGGCAAAGATGGCCTATTAACGGAAATCAACACAAATACAATCCATTGCAAGGTAAATCCTAGAACATTAAGATATAAAGAGTTTGATACATGCTTTGGCAAGAATCAGATATAGCTCAGTATAAATTTAGAAATGTTAGAAACTAATTATATACACAGTTATTATAAAGCAAGACTCAGATGTCTGGGACAGTCACAGCAAACAGTCACTTGTTGAATGGTGCTAAGAACCAGGGACGAGGGGTTGGGGATTTAGCTCAGTGGTAAAGCGCTTGCCTAGCAAGTGAAAGGCCCTGGGTTCGATCCTCAGCTCCGGGGGTAGGGGTGGGGGTGGGGGGTAAGGACCAGGGACAAAACATGTGAAATCTACTTTTCTGTGTGATTGCTTTAAATGTGAAAGGTAGATGCCAAGTTATCAGTCTTCCCTCTCAATTGTACTGTTTTTTTTTGAGACAGGGTTTCTCTGTGTAGCCTCTCTGCAGACAGACTTGCTCTGCAGACTACTCAATTTTTTTTAAACATTTATTATTATTTTTAATTATGGGTATCTGTGTGGATATATGCACATGACTGAAGGCACTCATGGTAGTCAGAGGCATTGGTTCCCCCAGGAACTGGAGTTACAGGCAGCTGTAAGCCATATGATGTAAGTACTAGGAATTGAACTTGGGTCCTCTAAGAGCAATGTATGCTTTTAACAGCTGAGCCATCTCTCTAGCCTCCTTATTTTGTTTTTTGAAATAGGGTTTCTCCTGTAACCCTGGCTGTCCTGAAACTCATTATGTAGGCCAGGCTGGCCTTCAATTCAGAGCTCTGCCTGCCTCTGACTCTCAAAGTCAGTATTAAAAGTATCTGCCACCATGCCCAGCTGTTCATCAGTTTTTCAAAGGCACAGTACGCATCTCATGGGCTCTGATACCCTGGGAAACAGTTCTACCTAACAGGTGACGGCTTTCTGGACTTGACCTCCTGAGGACTAGAACGAGACTAGAGGAGGGCACTGGGTGTCCTGCTCTGTCACTCTCCACCTCATTCCCCTGAGCGCTCATTAAGCCTGGAGCTCACCATTTTTAAGCTCAGCTGGATGGCCAACAAGTCCCCAGAGTCCTCTTCTCTCTACCCCTCTCATTTGCTGTCCCACATGGCCACAGTCAGTTTCATGTGAGTGCCGGGGAGTCAGACCTGCCTGTGAACCATCTCCCCAGCCTGTTTTACATTTTTTTGAAAGTGAAAGTATGTAAGAAAGAGATGGGCCTTGTCTAATAGGAGTGATAAGACAGGTTCAATAAAAAACCACAAGAGACAGTGACAGTTCCCATAAGAAATGGATAAGATAAGGAACTCGGAGGAGGGAATAAGAACTCTTTTCTGGCAACTATGAAGGCATTTTAACTGGTTCTTTTTTGTTTTGTTTTGCTTTTTGAGACAGGGTTTCTTCATGTAGTTTTGGTGCCTGTCCTGGATCTCGCTCTGTAGACCAGGCTGGCCTTGAACTCACTGAGATCTGCCTGTCTCTGCCTCCTGAGTGCTGGGATTAAAGGCACGCGCCACTGCTGCCCAGCTTTAACTGGTTCTTAAACAATGGGTGGATCTGGATGTGTGGCCAGAGAGGAATACACACACAGTGGAAGAGGTGGAAGCAAGCCAAGTTGTGTCTGGAGAATGACTGGGACTTAGCAGCGCGGCTGTGGTCTGCACATAATCAGGAGTGGTACCTGCTCAACATTGCTCATATCAAGCCAGTCTTGATCTTCCAGCTCTACTGCCATTTCTTCCAAGTACACACACCGGCTGGGGATGCCATTCCCGCTTTTCAAGTTTGGATCACCTGTGAAACAGTTTTCATTACCTATAGGTTAAGGGTAATGTCCCTGTCCCCATGACATTGCTTTGTCTTGTTTTCCTTTTCTGAGACAGGGTCTTGCTATGTTGCCTAGGCTGCTCTTTAACTTCTAGGCTCAAGCGGTCCCTCCTCCCTCAGCCTCTCCAGTATTGGAGACCAAAGGCATGTACAGCTGTGATCAGCTTACAACAACTGATCCTGATAGCAAGTCTCTTGAACTCAGGAATACTAGAGTGATCTTGATACATAAAGTAGTTACAGAGCATGGACTGTTATGAATCCTCAGTACAACATTTAGGAAGAAAATTCCAGATACCAGCATTAACTTTAGGGTTGAATTACAGATAGGGCACACAGATAAAACATGTCTGAATCTCTCAGCATCCATGCAAGAAGAAAATGGAGTTAGCTACTCTTTTTACTTCCTTTTAAAGGTAGTACAGACATGTAGTCACACAGCCCAGTCAGCACCAAAATGGCAACAGAGGTTAGATTTGTAGAAATATTGTTTGTTTATTTTTTTGAGACAAGGTTTCCCTGTGTAGCCCTGACTATCCTGGAACTCACTTTGTAGCTCAGGGTGGCCTTGAACTCAGAGATCCACCTGCCTCTGCCTTCTGAGTGCTGGGATGAAAAGTGTGTGCCACCACTGCGTGGCTGAAATACTGTTTTTAAGTTTTTAAACTACTGTTTTAATTTTTTAAACTTACTGAAATAAACCCTGTGCTCCATTAGTTACAGAAGCTTTCTAAGAGCCAAAGGAGTCCCTCGCCTAAGCCAGGAGGGAAGAACAGACAACCAATTGGAGGGGGCAAGTCTGCAACTCACTGTTGTCCAGAGTAATGAGGAAGATCCTTTGGATCATGTGATTGATGTTGAGTTGCTCACATATTTCTTGCCGTGACCGGAAGGAGCGGCTAATCTCAGACACAGAGTAGTCAAATTCGTCCAGGCTCTCTGACACACTATTATCGGAGTCATCTGGGCTTCCTGGGAGCTCATCTGCCAGAACACATAAGCCGTTACACAGTGTGTTCCTCCCTTAGAACAAAACACACTGCCTAGAATGAATGTAACCACCAGGAGGACAACTGCAGGTGTGAAACAAATTATTCATCTCATTAGGGAGCAATTCAAGCCAGGCAAGTGAAGTGCAGGAGTCTGAAATCCCGGCTATAAATCTTGCCTTCTATACAGTAAGCGTCATTACTTCCACCCATAATCGTACCCCACTGTGACAAAATTAGCAACATTACCTAACTTTCTTCGAGAAAAAAAATAACTACCAAATAGATCAAATGGCAGTAATACATTGGCTGTGGTAATTTTACACTCAGGAATCTTTCCTGTAGAAGGGTTCCTCAAACCAGAACCCTATAGACAGCTGCTTAATCTGCAGTGCTCCAGACTCCTGTGCTAATGTTCATTACCATTGTTTCTTATTTAAAAACTGATGTGCTTTTCAGCTGCCTTTCCTTGTCTCTTTGACGTTTGCTTTTGTGTGCAGGGAATGTGTGTCAGTGTGCACTTGGAGGTCAGAGGACAGACAGCCTGTAGCAACACCAGTTTTCTCCTCCTCCTATGTGGGTCTTGGGGACTGAACTCAGGTCATCAGACCAGGTGGCAGGCACCTTACCTGCTGAGCCATCTCATGAGGATCATTGTTTTAAAGATGCATTTAAAATGATGTATACGTATGCATTGTGTGTGGGAATGTGATGCTGAGCCATCTCTCCATCTTTTTTGTTGTTGTTTAATGACAGATCTGTACCACACTTTAAAACAGTTTTTTTACCATTTACTTACTTTTGTATGTGTGTATGTTTATGTGCCATGACATGCATTTGGAGATCACAGAACAACTTGGAAACTTGGGGAAGGAAGTCCTTTTTCTCCATCCACCATGTGGATCCAAGGACTGAACTCAGGTCATCAGAACTGGAAGCAAGTGCCTTTACCCACTGAGCTGTCTTAACTGGCTTTACACACACACACACACACACACACACACACACACACACACACACACACACACACACTTATTCAGAAGGCATCAGATCTCATGGTACTAGTCATAGATGATTGTGAGCTGCCATGTGGGTGCTAGGAATTGAACCTAGGACCTCTGGAAGAGAAGCCAGTGCTCTTAACCACTGGGTCATCTCTAGCTTCTCAACTGGCTTTAAAAATTATTTGTTTGTATAGGTGTTTTGTCTGGATGTATATACGTGCAATGTGTGTGTGCCTTATGGCTGAAGAGGTCAGAAGAGGGCTTTCAAGCCTTAGAACTGGAGTTACTGATGGTTACAAGCCACCACCATGTTGGTGCTGGGAACCAAACCCAGGTCCTCTGCAAGAGCATCACATGCTCTTTAACTGCTGAGCCATCTCTCCAGCCCTTCAATAGGCCTTAACTTACCAACACCAACACTATTCCCTGGAAGTCATGTAGAGACCTTCTTCATTCCATGGATTAATCCTGTGTGTTGTGCGTGTTTGAAACAGGCCTCCTCTTGTCCTCACACTCCCTATAAGGATGATCCTGAACCTCTAATCCTCCTGTCTTTACCACCAAATTCCCAAAATCAAAGGGATGCACACCACATCTGCTTTTATGTGGTACCAGGGATTAAACCCAGGGCAAGCAAGCACTTTACCAAATGAACTCTATCCCCAGCCTTATTTTTTGATTTTTTTGAGACAGTGTCTTATATTGCCCAGGCCAGCCTTAAACTCTGTGAGGAGGACGGCTTGAACTCTGATGCTCCTGCCTTAGGTTCCTGAGTAGCTGGATCACCAGCCTGCATTAGCAGGCCCAGTCCATCTCATACTTTTAATAGTTGCATTGTAATGTAATTTTTGCCTTTACTATGACTTATGTAGTCACTTAAACTCCATGTTTATTCATCAAGTAAACATGAGAAACTGTTCCAGGGTTTCATGATCTTAAGTAATACAGCACTGAATGTAATCTATTTTTGTTTATTATGTGGGTGAGTATTTGTGTAAGACAAAAATCTAGGAAAGAGGACTGGAGAGATGGCTCAGCGGTTAAGAGCACTTGGCTGCTCTCCCGGAGGTCCTGAGTTCAATTCCCAGCAACCACATGGTAGCTCACAACCACCTATAATGAGATCTTCTGGCCTGCAGGGACACATGCAGGAAGAACATTGTATATATAATAAATAAATCTTAAAAAAAAAATCTAGGAAATAGAATTGTTGGCTCAAAGAGCTTGAAAACTTTAGGGTAGGTGAGACTGCTCAGCAGGTAAAGGCACTTGGTTCCCCGGGTTCAACCCTTGGAGCCCACATGGTGGAAGGAGAGAACTGAACAAAGCAAGTTATCCTCTGACCTCCACATGCACACATCAAATGAACATAATACAAATTTTTTAAAGCGCTTAAGTATTTTAAAAGTTAACAGAAGTTATTCTCAAAGAGACTGCTTTCATCTACATAACTAGCTAGGGGTATGAGAAAATGTCTCTTGATTTTAATAAATTTGATCTAATTACAGAGGTGGCATGGAAATAGAGGAGCCTACTAGAAAGAAGGCACGTACGGAGGAAAGGCCCACATGACTACAGGAAAGGTCAAGAAAAAATGTGAAGGGGACTGTTTGAGCACCACTACCCTTCAATAAGGAGAAAAATCATTGCATTGTGAACTCCAGGTGACAGAAGACACATTTCTTAACTGGCTTGCACTGAGAACTGATTCCTGCACCAACTCAGCATGGCCTATAGAGGAGGAGGTGGGCATGGGCAGTGCCCCTCAGTGATGCCGTCCACCAACAGCACCCGCACACACAATATATGCATGGTCTCTGACTTTTTCTACCCAAACATGGGAGGTGTGGAGAGCCACATTTACCAGCTCTCTCAGTGCCTCATTGAGAGGGGGCACAAGGTCATAATTATCACCCATGCTTACGGAAATCGAAAGGGCATCCGTTACCTCACCAATGGTCTCAAAGTTTATTACTTGCCTCTCAGAGTCATGTACAACCAATCTACAGCCACGACTCTCTTCCACAGTCTGCCATTGCTCAGGTACATATTTGTCCGGGAGAGAGTTACAATAATCCATTCCCACAGTTCTTTTTCTGCCATGGCCCATGACGCTCTCTTCCACGCCAAGACAATGAGGCTTCACACAGTTTTCACAGATCATTCCCTTTTTGGATTTGCTGATGTCAGCTCTGTGCTTACAAACAAGCTTCTAACTGTGTCTCTCTGTGACACAAATCACATCATTTGTGTCTCTTACACAAGTAAGGAAAACACTGTACTGCGGGCAGCCCTGAACCCTGAAAGAGTGTCCGTCATTCCTAACGCTGTAGATCCCACTGACTTCACCCCAGGACCACTTAGGAGGCATGGCGGTGTAATAACAATTGTTGTCGTGAGCAGACTGGTTTACAGAAAAGGGATCGACTTGCTTAGTGGTATAATACCCGAACTCTGTCAGAAATATCCCGAGTTAAATTTCCTAATTGGGGGAGAGGGACCAAAGAGCATCGTTTTGGAAGAAGTACGGGAAAGATACCAACTACATGACAGAGTACATCTTTTGGGAGCTTTAGAACACAAGGATGTCAGAAATGTCTTAATTCAAGGACATATTTTTCTTAACACCTCCCTGACCGAAGCCTTCTGCATGGCGATCCTGGAAGCCGCCAGCTGTGGTCTACGGGTTGTCAGCACCAAGGTTGGTGGGATTCCTGAAGTGCTTCCGGAGAATCTTATTATTTTATGTGAACCTTCAGTAAAATCTTTGTGTGAAGGGCTGGAAAAAGCTATTTTCCAAGTGAAGTCGGGGATGTTCTCAGATGCAGAAAATATCCACAATGTAGTGAAGGCTTTCTACACCTGGCGGAATGTGGCCGAGAGGACCGAGAAAGTGTACGAGAGGGTGGTGGAGGAAGCTGTGCTGCCGATGCACGGGAGGCTGACCAGGCTCACCTCTCACTGTGGCCCACTTACAGGCCACATTTTCGCTTTGCTGGCTGTCTTCAGCTATCTCTTCCTCATGTTCCTGAGATGGATGACTCCCGATTCTGCCATCGATGTGGCAATAGATGCCACTGGGCCAAGGGGAGCGTGGACTCATGAATGCCCTCATGATACAAAAGGAGATGAGATTGACAAGGTATCCAAGAGCGAGCCTGAACTGTAAACTTTAGACAGTTCTATTAATACAGCTGAAAAAGAACCTTGTCCTTTTGTTTTGGGGCTTCGAAGGTAACTTGGTAAACTATGCTACCTCTGTAGCATTCACCGGTTCATTTGAGGAAAGCCGAACACTCACATGATTCCTGAGCTTGGAAGCTCCTTGTACTCCTTTGAGGGAGACCAGTTCGGCCACTCAGGTCTGAAAGTTTCAGATTACTGAAATCCCTCCAGTTGGGAGCCTTCGGTGCTAGGTCATTTTTGGCCAGTTTTTAACATTATACCATCAATTCAACATCCACCAGACACACACAAGCTTTCTTTAGGGAGATATAAAGTTATGTGAACTATTTGAAGTCAAGTTGATGTTTCTTTATTAGACCCTGAGATTATACTCTTACACATAGGTCTACTCAGTAAGTGTATCATACAATCTGAGCAACTTGCCAACATGTTTTGAGTGCCTGCTCTGTATGAAATGTTGGACAGGTAGTGCCTGCCACTTAGGACTAGTTAATGTGATGCAGTCAAACAGTTAACATGTCCCAAATGCTCAAGTTACTTAATTTGAGGAAAATGCCACATCACATACTCTTAGTACCTCTCTAATCCTGCTGTATGCATTCTCCTAGGTGGATACTTCATATCATGTGTGTATGAAGAGATTTTGCTTTTCAAGTCCTAGGGGCTGGTACCACTGTTGTAGGCTTAAAAAAATTACTTATTATTGTTGTGTGTTTATGACATGTATGTAGGGTAGAACAATGCGTTTCTGTATACAGACCTTGATTATAACTGTCAGTGTATGTAGAAACACACCGTTCCACCCAGCTATTTATAATTAACGTGAAGTGAACATTGAGGAATTTTCTAAAAAGTTGTATTTTTTTTTAACTGCATTGCTTCTGATGTTATAGTCGCATGCATAAACCAAGGCTGTTAAAACATGCTCGTGACCAAAAATAAAGACAAGAATTTGACATTTTAAACAAACAAATAAAAATCTAATTGTTTAATTTTTTTTATTACATTTCTTTAGAGTGTGTA